GGGGGGACACACCCCAAAAATTGGGGGTCAGGGAACCCCCAAAACACTCTCAGGGACCCCAAAACACACCCAGGGACCCCAATAAACCTCCCCGTCCTGGGGGTTGGGGGGGACACCCCAAAAATTGGGGGTCAGGGAACACCCTAAAACACACCCAGGGACCCGAAAAACATCCAGGGACCCCAAAAACACACCCAGAGACCTCAATAAACCTCCCCGTCCTGGGGGTTGGGGGGGGACACACACCCCAAAAATTGGGGGTCAGGGAACCCCCCGAAAACACACCCAGGAACCCAAAAACACCCAGGGACCCCAATAAACCTCCCCGTCCTGGGGGGGGACCCCAAAAATTGGGGGTCAGGGAACCCCCCCAAAAACACACCCAGGAACCCCAAAACACACCCAAGGACCCCAAAAACACCCAGGGACCCCAAAAACACCCGAGGACCCCAAAAACACACCCAGGAACCCCAAAACACACCCAAGGACCCCAAAACACACGCAGGAACCCCAATAAACCTCCCCGTCCTGGGGGGGGACACCCCAAAAATTGGGGGTCAGGGAACCCCCCAAAACACACTCAGGAACCCCAAAAACACCCAAGAACCCCAATAAACCTCCCTGTCCTGGGGGACCCCAAAACCAGGCTCAGAGACCCCGAAACACACCCAGGGACCCTAAAAAACACCCAGGCACCCCAATAAACCTCCCCACCCTGGGGAACCCCAAAATTGGGGTCAGGGACTCCCAAAAACACACCCAGGGACCACAATAAACCTCCCTGTCCTGGGGGACCCCAAAACCAGGGTCAGAGATCCCAAAACAGGGCTCAGGGACCCCAAAACACACCCAGGAACCCCAAAAACCCCTCCCTGTCCTGGGGGACCCCAAAACCAGGCTCAGAGACCCCAAAACACACCCAGGGACTCCAAAACACAACCAGGAACCCCAAAAACCCCTCCCTGTCCTGGGGGACCCCAAAACCAGGGTCAGAGACCCCAAACCAGGGCTCAGGGACCCCCAAAATTGGGGTCCTTCCCCTGGATTATTCGGGGTCCCCCCGGATTATTTGGGGTGCCCTTGAATCATTTGGGGTCCCCCAGGGGGTTTTGGGGTCCCCCTGACCTTGTTGTCCAGGTCGAACAGGTACGAGTCGTCCTCCCTGACGTCGGCCTCGGCGTCCGAAATCAGCTCCCCCACGTACCTGGGGGGGAAAAGGGGGTGAGGGGACCCCAAAAACACTCCCAGGGACCCCAAAAACATCTCAGGGACCCCAAAATCCCCCCTGGAACCCCAAAAACATCTCAGGGACCCCAGAGCCATCTCGGGGACCCCAAAATCCCCCCTGGAAACCCCAAAACCCCTCCCTGGAACCCAAAATCCCCACTGGAACCCCAAAACCATCTCAGGGACCCAAAAACCCTCCCTGGAAAGTCAAAAACCCTCCCTGGAACCCCAAAAACCCTCCCTGGAACCCCAAAACACACCCGAGGACCCCAAAATCAGGCTCAGGGACCCCAATAAACCTGGTGGGGGAAAAAGGGGGTGAGGGCACCCCAAAAACACTCCCAGGAACCCCAAAATCCCCCCTGGAAACCCAAAATCCCCCCAGGAACCCCAAAACACACCCAGGGACCCCAAAAACACACCCAGGGACCCTAAAAAACACCCCCGCACCCCGATAAAATTCCTCGTCCTGGGGGACCCCAAAATCCAGATCAGGGACCCCAAAAACACACCCAGGGACCCCAAAAACACCAGGAACCCCAATAAACCTGGGGGGGGAAAGAGGGGGTGAGGGCACCCCAAAAACCCTCCCTGGAACCCCAAAAT